AAACCTATAAACACAAATTATTAAGCTCTATGATACAATAATACAAAACAACTGGTAAAACAAACCTATAGGTATTGTAAACTAAACATTTAAGGCATTTTTGATAACTGTTTGAAATTTATAACACTATTAAGGTACACCTTTATGGATCAGATTTGTACCTTTGATGCAGGTACAATATCGCATCTGCAGGTTTTAAAAACTAAAAGGTACATTTTGGTTTTCCATAGTACAAATCATGTCCCATAAAAAGGTGTACTGCCCCAGTGACAAGGATTTTTACCATCTTTGGTACAACATTGTACCCTTTTTTCTGAGAGTGTACAAAATAATATAATGTAATATAATGTAATATAATATAATATAATATAATATAATATAATATAATATAATATAATATAATATAATATAATATAATATAATATAATATAATATTATAACATAATATAACATAACATAATATAATATAATATAATATAATATAATATAACGTAATGTAATGTAATGTAATGTAATGTAATGTAATGTAATATAATATAACATAATATAATATAATATAATATAATATAATATAATATAATATAATACAACATAAAATGACATGACACGACATCACAAACATATCACAACAAACATAACATAACATAACATAACATAACATAACATAACATAACATAACATAACATAACATAACATAACATAACATAACATAACATAACATAACATAACATAACATAACATAACATAACATAACAACATAACATAACATATAATTTGAAACATGATATAATCAAAATTTTTTGGAAAATGAATAAATACAGCAGAAATATAATGTTGTAAAACGTATAAATAAATATATGAACAATAAATAAATATCTCAGTTGATTTTTTATATAATGCCATAAATTGAATACTATTTAAAAATAACTTTATTTCATAATATTTATTAGAAGTTTTTACACTAAAAAAATTAAATTCTTTGAATTTCATACATTTTACAATCACAACTGTTTTACCATTATCCGAAATTGAACAACCCAACCCAACAAACACAAAAACAAATCTTGAAAACACAGACATGATTTCTAAGAGGAACACACAAGTGTCAAATACATCTCTAATCACTTATGACTCATAATAAACACAGAGATAGGATCATTATCCAGCCTGTATAACTCAGTGTATCTATTTTGTTTTAAGTAGCTCATTTGATTCTTGTCAGATCATCAGATCGCCGCCTTGTTTTGTATACAGCAACAACAACGGCCATCACAGAGCGTCTAAATCCTGTGACTGACGAACATGCACTTTTCTCACACCGCAGAGAGGTTTTCTGCAGACTCAGTGCTTTGTTTATCGTCAGTATTTATACACTTCTTCTTTATGGTGGCTTTGCCGTCAGGGAGTGGCACGCTAGACTCTTCTCACTATCACAGTTTGTTATGGATGTGACGCTGCCATCCTTTCCCACAAATGCGTTTTCTTTTCTTTTTTCTGTCTTCATAATAGAGATAAATACCCAGAGTCAGACATTTGCATAAATTTGATAGTAAAAACGCCAGAGGTTACAATATAAGGTGGCTACTTTTCATCAGAGCAACTGCTTTCTGCTACTAAATATCACTTTTGCCTCAAATGTGAGAGAGGTTTCACTGGCTGACCAGTGAGATGAGGTGCGAAGTATCCCTGTCATGAAACCATAAGTCAATTTCGACAACATTTTTAAGGCAAGACACTGCAAAAGCCCTTCTTTATGCATCAATTTTGAGATTTTGATGCATTAAGAGTTTCAAAAAAACTTTTAAAATATGACTGCGAGTGTTTGTTTAGTCGAACTTTATCAATTTGTGACTGTAGGTTTTAATTTGAACATATTTTTACACTGGGTTTCAAAATGAATAAAAATGACATGATCAATTACTCATGACAGCATGTTTTTAATGTTCTAACTTAATTTTTTAAGTTACGCAAGCTGTTGGAAGATAATGTTCAATGGACTCATTAGTTTAATTTAATTCAGCCTAAAAATTTAAGGAAACCAGGGTTTTTCACTGTGCAAACATCTTTTTTGTGTGTAAAAATTATTTGTTTTAAGTATTCATGTCTGCTTTTGTAAATTAAATTCATAATAACGATTTGAATGATGTGGTTAAATCATTTGTAACAAATAATGAAATAATAAATAATATGTATATAGCTAATTCTGGCACAACATGTCATATTGTACACTGTCCCTGAAGAAAGAAAGAAAGAAAGAAAGAAAGAAAGAAAGAAAGAAAGAAAGAAAGAAAGAAAGAAAGAAAGAAAGAAAGAAAGAAAGAAAGAAAGAAAGAAAGAAAGAAAGAAAGAAAGAAAGAAAGAAAAAGTTTTTGAGAAAATGTGGACGCCCTTTATTTATTTTATTTCAAACTCAAATATCAGCAGTTTATTATGTGAAACTGGAAAAAAACTAAATAAACTGAGAATGACATGGCTTTTTACATATTCTCCCTATTTCCAAAAATGTATATACAAACCTCTGTCATATTGACAATCTGGTGAATGCCTTTTATGGATGATTTGTATTTTCAACAATTTTTTGTTTCTTTTCAACAATTGTTTATCTGAATAATCTGGAATAATGACAACTTTTGCCACCTCCCCCCTTTTATTCCCTTTTTTCATTTCCTTTTATCCCTCTTTTTTTGTTTTGTTTCTTTTAATTTTTTTTATAATTATTGTTGTTTTTCCTCTAAATTGAAAACAAAGATGTAAATACGAATAAATAAATATTTAAAATCTTATATTCTTAGGCATTGCTTAAAAAAGTGAAGTGCAACAAATAATTCTATTAGTTAAATATTATTTTATAATATAATTTAATACATATAACAATACAATAATAATTACCATACTATGACAATTATATAACAATAAGAAGCTTTATTAAAGCCTGGAATATTGAGGAATGATGCAGTTTATAAAGGTTTTTTTAAGAGGAATTTGTTTGTACAAAAAATGCTTGATTGTACATTTTATTCAACAATAACAACAACAACAAAATGTAAACATCTCTCTTTTTTTGTTTATTTTATCAATTATGGAGTGATGAAGAGAGATTCTTAAAACCTTACTGTAATATGTGAAAAAACTATAAGTTTGAATCTGACTACATCCAGTGTTCATATGTTTGTGCTAGCACAATGGCAAATAATTGATGAAACAATGCCTCGTTTTGATATTTAATCATATAATATTTGAAAACTTGTAATAGAAAAATCAGTCAACGAGGCAAGTATGATCATACCTTTTTTACACCATAATAACATACAGTTGAAGTCAGAATTATCAGCCTCCTTTGAGTTTTTTTCTTTTTAAAATATTTCCCAAATGATGGTTAACAGAGTCAGAAAATTTTCACAATATGTGTGATTTTTTTCATCTTCTGGAAAAAGTCTTATTTGTTTTATTTCGGCTAGAATAAAAGTAGTTTTAAATTTTTTAAACACCATTTTAAGGACAATATTATTAGCCCCTTTAAAGACAATAACTTGCCTAATTACCCTAACCTGCCTAGTTAACCTAATTAACCTAGTTAAGCCTTTAAATGTCCCTTTAAGCTGTATAGAAGTGTCTTGAAAAATATCTACTTAAATATTATTTACTGTCATCATGATGAAGATAAAATAAATCAGTTATTAGAGATGAGTTTTTAAAACTATTATGTTTAAAAATGTGTGAAAAAAAATCTCTCTGTTAAACAGAAATTGGGGGGAAAAATAAACGGGGGGCTAATAATTTTGACTTCAACTGTACATCTTAAGTCATAAACACTGTCTGGTTGCATGAAGCAAACTTTGGTTTTGAGGAACAGATGAGCGTCAGGTTGCCAGATCCTCTCTCATGTGGGCTGACTTTCTGGTTTTCCAGCAAAAATGAAAAAAACTGACGGCTATGTGTTTGACGGAAGATGAAGTGTTTGTCAGTTTCACAGGGTGTTTCTTCAACACTGTCTCTGTGGATTTTCAGAAAATGAACTTTTTGAACAGTTTCGGTTTCATGCGTAAAACGTTTTACAATAGACTGCCATATTAAACTGATCAAATATGATTGCAAAATGTTTGATAAGTCTGACAAGTTACATACATATTGTAAGTCACAAAATCATTGCTATAAATGTTTCATTTAAATGTATAAAACAAGGGTGTATTGATCAAAAGTGACAGAAAAGACATTTATTTTGCTAAGTATATAATTAAAAAGATACTACTCTTCACCTTTTTGTTAAGAATTTTTTTTAATCAAATATGAAATGGATTAGTTAATACATTTTAAATCCCTTAATAAAAGTAATTACAGTTTTTACAAAAACTTACTGTAAAGCACCGTGGCTGTTTCACCATTGATAATATTAGGTTAATAAACTATTACATAAATAATTTTAAGTTTCTTAAAAATGCATTTTGTTAAATAATAAAAATAATGGTATATATGAACTAAGCATACATAAATTGTACTTTAAAAATATTTTTGCAAGTTTGAAAATCTCATCTAAATACTAAATAAAAACTAAGTAGATAGAAAAATACATTTGAACTAAACTAATAAAAAAATAAAAACTCAATAACTTTTTTTTTTCAAAAAGACAATCAGACAAACAAACAAACAAACCATCCCCAAACGCTGACAATTACATAAAATATTACAAATGTATCTGTTTAACAAAACAAAAACAAAAAAAAAATCTAAACAAAACAAAAGAAGCCAGAACTCTCTTAAAATACAATTTTCAGAGTTTAAAGGATTGGAGAGTTTCGCAAAGTCTCCTGAATTTGCCCTGTTTGTGATTGAGGTCAAAGTTACATTTTACCAGTGGAAGAAAAATTGACAACTGAGAAATCAACATGGAAATAGCTGAAATTTCAGAAGTAGACCATTTTAGTATTATACATTTCTTAGCCAGAAATGTAAGAGTTGTAAACAGAGGTTTGAGGTCTGATTAAAAAAAAGGTCTTCAGGAATGTCATTCAAAAAAAAAAAAAAAAAAACGTAAGAGGGAGAAAATAAAACGGTTTCCTATTATCTCCTGCATTGCAGAATGAACCCCTCTCCAATATGGTTGGATGTGAAAACAGGAGCAGAATAAATGAAAGAATGTGCCCTTACAAGTTTTGCACTTAAAATAGAGGTCGGAACAAGCTGGGAACATTTTATGCAGACGATCAGGAGGGAAAGAAATTCTGTGGAAAAACCTCAAATTTTGTTAATTTATGGAAACTAAAGTACATTTCGGAAAAATACCATCACAGACCCTAGGTTTGGCATCTCTGCTTCACAGTTTATTGTTCACTTGTTATCATAGTTTTTACCTATTTTAAACAAAACAACATGAAATAAGTTCAACACATGAATTTAAATGGCACTAAAACCAATGACCTTTATATGGTGTTTGAATACATTAAGCTGCATTTAAATAAAAACTAGATCCTCTTTGTTTGTCTATTTGTTTATGTATATTGTGTCATCTTTTACTAAACGCATCTAGACAATGCAGACTCATTATGTGAAGATGAATGTTGGTGGTTTGCACTTGTAGCTGTGAAATGTCACCTCAGACCTCGTCAGTTCCTCATCATTGGCCGACGGTACAGACTGTGAGTTTCTGATGCCCTGATGGAAAAGTGCTGACCTGATGATGCTCAGGTCTGATAATGCCTCCTGAAGCCTAAAGCCTGTGTGTCTGCGCTGGGAAAGACGGGCTTCCACGTCCTCCATACTGGTCCTGTTTCACCGCAGCATATCTGACAGACAAATACAGCAGTTGAGCTAAACGTTGAGCTGATTATTTATTTGAAAGTTTACTAATATTTACAGCCACAGAATTATAAAGTCTTATTAATTGATAATAAAATAAAGTTTACAAAAAATGAACTAACTTAAGCTATGGTGTAGATTTAAAAAAAAACTGTTAATAAAGCAAATATTAACGGAGAATGTATGAATATACTAGATATCAAATTCCATGTGTTCTTAGTTTGTGATATTTTCTAGTGATTTCGGAGCGAAAATTGATTCTACATTTTTTTACAGCACAATGGAAAATGATGGAAATGATGCTTCGTCACAAATTAAAAATAAATTTCACAAACAAATACTCAAACACAATGAATTAAACTTGAGAGCAATTTGAACATTTTGTAATTTTGAAGAAGAAACTGAAAATGTATTTTACTGTAAAAAATTTCAGTAATCTGTGTTTTTACAACTTTGACTTTTTATAAAGTAGCTGAAATAAAATGTTCATTAAAATTTTTGTCTAATTTAATTTAGTTTTTATGGATATAAGATAAACATAAAAATAAAACACAGCAATTAATCTGCTTAATCTGCAGTCATATAAAAACAACAACAAAGTTTGAATTAAGATATTATACTTTAAGTGTTAATTTTGTTGTTTAGATTTTAATATAATTTTTTAAAAATACGTATATGCTGCTTTTTTATTTTAAACTAAATAAATTAAAGTAAACTAAAATCTAAAATAAATTAAATAAACTAACCCCCCCCCCCCCATTTTTTTGACAAATTTAAAAAATAAAAAATAAAAAAAATAAATAAATATAATTTAAAACAAATGAAGGCAAAATTAACAAAATTACAAACTACACAAAACTAAATAAACCCTTTGAAATTTAAGAAAATATCAAAATGAATTAATAACCTTATCATTGAACAAAACTGCAATAGCATATCATTGAAAATTTTGTTCTGGATAATTGGCAGTGACACAACACAAAACTACCCTAACAGCAGCACTTCATTCATCCCTCTTATTAAATGAACATAAATCATTTTAAGAAACATTTATGATATTTTGAACTGATACAAACTTAGGTTGTGGCAGTTTTGGACAATCAGGAATATTGTTGCTATATCTGCAGTGAGCATATCCAACCATTTGCATTGTTGCGCACGAGCAATTGAACAATTGTCATGTACTCTATGTTGTGCTGCTACATTTGACCCCACTTACACTATATTAAGACAAAGCATGGTGGAAGTTTGCATTCTAAGAAGAAAAAAAAGTGTTTTTAATTCCATGGAACATGACACATTTTCAGCTGATTGAGAAATTTCACTGAGGATGTAACAGCTGCTATAAAGCACAAGTATACTTTGGTATTAACATGCACTCTAGTATGGAAGGCTGTTGGGGCAAAAAAATCCTTAAATCTAAATGCTTGAAATGTAACATATCCAATGTTAAGATGCCAATTTCAAACATGTTTCTTTAGTAATTTAGATCCTTTATAACTGTAAATCTTTCATTATCATCAATTTTCATTGCTGTTGTTATAAAAGGTGAATATGGCAAATAAAAATTTAAATTAAATCGGATTTTGTCAAGAAACACATTACCCAATAAAATTGCTGTATTTGTTAAATGTTTTGCATATGTGAAAAAACAATCTGATCTCATGAATATTCATAGGTATTTGACATAAAGAGTGGTTCTGCCAAATGGACATTTATTTTTCTTTGCATTAACACTAGCTCTGTTTACATCCACATTTTTGATGCACATCTTGGAATATTATATAAAACTGCATAATGGGAACGCAAAGATGCAAGTAAAAAACTTGCAAGAATAAACTTTTTATCCATCAAGAAACACATTTACCGACTAAAGTCCAGCATGCACATCAAAAAAGTAATCCAATTATGTTTTACCAGATCGTATAATAACAAAAATAGGCGCAGAAATCTATTTTGCATAATTGGATTATTTATAGTATGTAAATGTACAATACTGTCTCCTATTAAACATTACATAAGTGTTGGGGAAAGTTAGTTTAGGAAGTAATGCATTACAATATTAGGTATATCCCCAAAAAAGTAAATAATTTCGTAACTTAGTTACTTTTTATAGTGAGTAATGAGTTATGTTTCTTTAGAGTTACTCTTGCGTAATTTTTCGTATCTGGCTGATGCTTTATCTTTATCAGAACTGTTTTTTTTTCTTTCTTTTTTTAATAGAGGAGCTCTGCAATTAACAACGCGCTGCATAACCTTCATTTACCTATAAAAAATACATAAAAACAATCTGAAACTATGTTATCTGAGAACTTCCTGACTCAGAACTATGCATGCCGTATATACTGTACAGATTATTAAAAGTTAAAACTAATGCGTTTGCTACTTTTGTACTATTTGTCTTAAGTAAAATCACTGTTCATTGAGACAATCTGTTTTTCCTTTTGCTTCGATGCGTTCAAAATAATGAACACATTCTCTCATTGACTGCGTGATTCTTTGATGATGGTTAGGTTTAGGGGTGGGGTTTGGTGCCACACCTCCTTTTAAAAATCATACATTTTTGTACGACTGAACTAATCACTAAACTGACAAAACGTAAGATAGTTATGTTTCCTCGTGAGATCAGGATGAATAATGAGATCAACCTGTAAACAATGGTATTGTGATGTACATATACCAAGATCGGATCTTTTTTTTTACAAAGAGTATTGGTTTACTGGTGTATATAAAGATACATACGTCAAATTGTATTCCTGTATACTAAGAAATATGCAAAACTGCTGCCAGGGCCACTCAAACTGTTCATATTAAAATCCCAAAAAATCCCTTATAGCAAACTAATGGGAACAGGGGTGTGGTTAAGAATATTGCTGCTGAAACCATCAAACACTGAAACAAATAGTCAGACTTTAACTGAAAATTACCAAAACAAGCTATTTTTATTTAGCGCACAGATTAATTGTTCACCTGAAGAATAAACATTATCAATTTAGATTTTACACCAACTTTAACCAAGCATGCAACACACGTTTCCCAGCACAGTGCTGGGTTGTGGCTTGAAGGGCATCTGCTGTGTAAAACATATCCCAGAGTAATTGGCGGTTCATTCCACTGTGGCAACTCTAAATAAATCAGGCACTAAGTCGAAGATGAATGAATGAAAATATAGCTTGCACGAGCACTTTTGGCTGTTTTTCCACAAGGTGGCAGTACTGAACCAGGCTGTTTATTCACAATCAGCGAAGAAACAGAGATGGAACAACAACAAACTACTGAAAACTTTAAAACACCCAGAAGTCTGCAATAATACAGGGAGTGCAGAATTATTAGGCAAATGAGTATTTTGACCACATCATCCTCTTTATGCATGTTGTCTTACTCTAAGCTGTATAGGCTCGAAAGCCTACTACCAATTAAGAATATAAGGTGATGTGCATCTCTGGAATGAGAAGGGGTGTGGTCTAATGACATTAACACCCTATATCAGGTGTGCATAATTATTAGGCAACTTCCTTTCCTTTGGCAAAATGGGTCAAAGAAGGACTTGACAGGCTCAGAAAAGTAAAAAATAGTGAGATATCTTGCAGAGGGATGCAGTACTCTTAAAATTGCAAAGCTTCTGAAGCGTGATCATCGAACAATCAAGCGTTTCATTCAAAATAGTCAACAGTGTCGCAAAAAGCGTGTGGAAAAACCAAGGCGCAAAATAACTGCCCATGAACTGAGAAAAGTCAAGTGTGCAGCGGCCAGATGCCACTTGCCACCAATTTGGCCATACTTCAGAGCTGCAACATCACTGGAGTGCCCAAAAGCACAAGGTGTGCAATACTCAGAGACATGGCCAAAGTAAGAAAGGCTGAAAGACGACCACTACTAAACAAGACACACAAGCTGAAACGTCAAGACTGGGACAAGAAATATCTCAAGACTGATTTTTCTAAGGTTTTATGGACTGATGATATGAGAGTGAGTCTTGATGGGCCAGATGGATGGGCCCGTGGCTGGATTGGTAAAGGGCAGAGAGCTCCAGTCTGACTCAGACACCAGCAAGGTGGAGGTGGAGTACTGGTTTGGGCTGGTATCATCAAAGATGGGCTTTTGGGGCCTTTTCGGGTTGAGGATGGAGTCAAGCTCAACTCCCAGTCCTACTGCCAGTTTCTGGAAGACACCTTCTTCAAGCAGTGGTACAGGAAGAAGTCTGCATCCTTCAAGAAAAACATGATTTTCATGCAGGACAATGCTCCATTACACGCGTCCAAGTACTCCACAGCGTGGCTGCCGAGAAAGGGTATAAAAGAAGAAAAAATAATGACATGGCCTTCTTGTTCACCTGATCTGATCCCCATTGAGAACCTTTGGTCCATCATCAAATGTGAGATTTACAAAGAGGGAAAACAGTACACCTCTCTGAACAGTGTCTGGGAGGCTGTGGTTGCTGCTGCACGCAATGTTGATGGTGAACAGATCAGAACACTGACAGAATCCATGGATGGAAGGCTTTTGAGTGTCCTTGCAAAGAAAGGTGCTATATTGGTCACTGATTAGTTTTTGTTTTGTTTTTGAATGTCAGAAATGTATATTTGTGAATGTGGAGATGTTATATTGGTTTCACTGGTAAAAATAAATAATTGAAATGGGTATATAATTGTTTTTTGTTAAGTTGCCTAATAATTATGCACAGTAATAGTCACCTGCACACACAGATATCCCCCTAAAATTGCTAAAACTAAAAACAAACTAAAAACTACTTCCAAAAATATTCAGCTTTGATATTAATGAGTTTTTTGGGTTCATTGAGAACATGGTTGTTGTTCAATAATAAAACGATTCCTCAAAAATACAACTTGCCTAATAATTCTGCACTCCCTGTAAGTGATTAGTTGTGAGGATAAAAAAATATCAGAAACTCTAATAAAAAGACGTTCAATCGCTCGCAGTTTATGGAAAGAAAATTGATAAATCTTTGTCTCCAGATTTAGAAATG